TAAACTACTTAAACTACCTTAAAACTAATAACTTATAACTTAAACCAAGGAAAAGAACAGGAGAACTGAAAACCAAAACACAGTATAACCAAAAAACTCAAAAACAAGGTGTCCTAGAAATACGAAACTAACAGGGGAACAAAGCACCTACTAAGGGAAAGAATTACAAAGGGAAAACTAACTACAAAAAACAGAAACCAAAAATGCCAAAATACTAACTAACACCGAAAAAGCTATGAAAATGGCCAGGCAGTTGAAATTGGCCTAGTAAGGCCTAACTATGAACTTACAGCCAAAAAGGCTGAAGAGCAACTCAGGAAAACCTGAAAAACCAAAAATACTGCAATGCAGTAAAATCCAAAAACCTCGAAAACTAGTTGACTGAGAAAAACCAAAATTATAGGGAAAGCTAAACACTGTAAGGAACCAAGTCTGAACATTATTTTTATTTACTTTTATTTTGCTTTTTATTATATTTTTGTTTGGGGCTTATGTTTTGTTAGGACGAAGGTTTCCTCACCATTCACCTTAAAAACTTAAAAATAGAAGAGAAACCAACTCACCAACGAGAGAAAAGCGCTGTAGAGAAAAACTCACGCACACTTGCGTTCCCGAGCGGAAAAAAGTAAGTCCGCACCGAGAAAAAGGGGGGGGAGAAGACCCCACAAGCACAACTTAAATTCGCTAAACCTTAAAAGAATAAAACATCCCAAAAATTGTAAAAAAGAATAATGTAAAAGGTTAGCAAGTATTGTCGGAAAATAGGCTGCCAGACAAATAGAAAAGTTTATTGTTAGCAAATAAGTATGTAAATGAGGGGAGTGATCGCATTCAGAATTGTGACGTCACCTCACAGTATAAAGTCCAAACATCAAGTGAAGACGAATGAGGTGAACTCCAGTTAGCAACGAGCTTCGTAGCAGTGAACGAGAGAGGTGTCTGATAGGATCAAATAGTTCCAAGGCGATTTTGAAGTTATTCGATTTGTGGATCGACGAATAGAGAAAGTCTTGAGAGTTGAGGAAATAGGTTCCTAGTGTGAGAGTAGCCGGGGTTACAGAGTAGGTAGTACCCATGTAACACTTAATCGGCACCAGTCGGTAGGACTAGTTCTCTAGGATGCAGATCACTAGATCTGATCTTAAATATTTCATAGGAGAGCAATATCAAAAGTGATCCGAACGGCGAAGTTCAGATGCTCGTCAGGTTCCCGACACCAGTTTGTCAATTTTCTCGTTGCGCGGACAAACACGCATATGAGATCTGATTCGGAATCAATTCAAGAGACATTTAAGTAAATTTAACAAGAGTAAATTTAATAATTCAAAACAAAACGAAAACAATTACAACGAACGAGGGATATCAATAAGACAATTAAGCCACACGAGATATAGTCTAAGACTTATTCTATACTGATGCGCGATCGAGAGAGAGAGCTCACAAGATTATTATAAACCATACGACCTGGTCAGTTGTCGTTCGTCTTCCTCTCTGTAGGTAAGGGACACCTTGTAGATAGAGTTCATTTACTTCTTCGTACGGGAGATCAATACGTGCACAAATATAAAAATATCTTTACTAAGTTCAGACTCGGGACTTAGTCTATGGGACTCGTTTAAGGGTGTTGGTCATCTGGAGAAGAACTGTGTGGAGTTTTGACGCTTCGGATCTGTCGAAGAACTCCTCGAATTCGGACTAAATTCCCTTATATCTCAAGATTTTCGACCAATCATCGGCCAGTAACTCTTTCATGAGAACGGACGAAAGGGGGATGAATGAGGGATAACCATTTCCCATCTGAGTGAGATTTTTAACCAGATAAGGGAAAGTCAGAGGATGTTCTCTTCTGTGAAAGGAAGTAGCATCTGTTATCTGGATTTTTCCCAGATAACAGAATACGTTAAAACAGTATTTTTTCACAAAAATGAAGTAATATTATGTGTCGATATTTTACCATTATTAATAAAAATTCATAAATTAGACCCAGGGCCTTTCGGGTCTCATACTAGTATATTGAGGTGATGATTAGGATCTTTAATTCATAAGAATTATTGTATATAAGTTAAGTCTTTGAAATTTTGTCGAATTCCAAAGGGGAATCGATTTAAGTTAGAAACTAGATTGATTTGAGTTTTGTCGGGTTGATTCTTATTGATTTTCATTGAATAAATTGTTGTTTGATTTTACTAAATTTTGTAAATAGTTATTATTAGAATTATTTATTAAATATTTGATTTGTTATTGACAAACTTTGTCATTATTTAATTTCGGTGCATGTTAAAAGTCCAGGCCTGGCACACTAACGCGAATCCGCGTAAAGTACCTGTTAGGGAACGGCTATTTCCGGCACACAGTCATGTCGAAAATCGTTGGAAAAGTCGGAAAAATAAAGCAGTACTTTACAACATCTGAAGACCTAACTACAAAAAGAGAACTTTAGTTTGACAAGACAAGACTAACTAACTGAAAAACACCCTAAAAACTAAAAATATACAAAAGCCAGCCAAAAAAAGAAGGTGATCGAGTGGAAGTTGAAAAGGAGTAAAATTAAATTGATTAAATCAAAGAAACTAACTGTTTCTCCCTGGCAAAGCCAAAACAGAAACTGATCTAGTTAAGCCTAACAATGAGAAACATGTGAAAATGAAAAATCTAGCCTATTAAGAATGGAAAAATGACTCAAAATCTAAGCAGTAACACAAATACTAACTAAAATGACAAAAAACAGCAGGAAAAAATACACAATAGAGCCAAAGACACACAAAAGTAGACCTCTCAGCAAAAAGCTCACCATCACAGGCAAGAAGCAGGCAGAGGAAACTAATAAACCAAGGTAGAGAAAGGGTTGTAAAAGAGGAGAAAGTAACTGAACAAGGGTAGACAGAGTCATAAAAGAAAGGAGGAAAAAGAGGGAAAACAGGGAGAGAGGGGTGTGGGTTGGAAGGAGAGTCTGAGTAGAAGTGGGAGAACAGTAAAGTTAGTGAAGAAAGGAGAAGTGGAAGAGCTTGAAAGTAGTCAGGGAAGGATAAGAAGCATCCTGTTAACTACACAGGATTGAGTGTCTATCGTACACTATCAAGTCTGATTAAAGTTTGGTTTTTGCTAAAATATTTGACTGCTTTAATTCAGTATGACAAACTGATGGGAGGGAATCTGAATGCAGGTTGAATTCTCAATATTCAGAATAAAGAAAAGACCAGAAAATAAGAACATTAAACCTGACCTTTCCTTATTTCTAAATTTTCGAAATCAAGTAACTTGAAAGGAAAGGTATCATAGTCATCATGGAATGTATTCTAGAATATGAAAATGAATAAAAGTTGACTGTTTTGATGGATTTTATCCTCAATTTTAATTAATTAATATTCATAAGGCTTGTTAACTGAATAAAATTCACTTTCATTATCAAATATTTTATCAAAATATTTAACTTTTCATAAAATATTGCATATCTGAATTTAACCCTTTGAAATCAAAATTTATTTAATTACTGTACATATTAAGTCTGATAAAATAAATTGTTAAAATTATTATTATTTTTTTCAAGTATAAGTATTCTCATAACAAACAATGAACATTCTTTTGTTCTAATTATATAAATCAATTAAACAATTTTCAGTAATATTTGTTAACTTTTAATTAACAATGTACGTAATATTAAAACATAAATAAACTTAATTGTTCTCAGCATAGTATTATTCAAATCAGATTAAAATTAACAAGGGAAATTATTATAGTATCAGGAAAGTTATGAAGCATAAATTACTAGTATCATAATGAATTTACAATTACAACAAAGTTTTAAAATCCAATATGACAAAGTTTTAATATCCAATATGACCTGATTAATTGAAATTAAAATGTATTAATGTAAAAAAGAAAAAAAATCATTATTTTAGAACAGGGGTTCTTGACCTTTTTTGTTCCATAGACCCCTCTTTTCCAGTCAGGTGAAGGTCTCAGATCTCTGGTTAAGAAACTCTGTTTTGGAATGATTCCTTTATTAAGTAGCTTATAATAAGAAACAATTATTTAAATGAATTTAATATTTTTACTATTATATACCTTACATTAATAAAATAATCTTAGATTATTCTTAATATAAAATATAGTGGAACCTTGCTTAACGAGAACCTCGCATAACGAGCAAAACAAATTGTAAAAACACGACTCACTTAACAAGCAACGTTTCTCATAACAAGTGACCAGGAGAGAGGAAGTCCCAGATTGTGTGCATATTCTATCAGTCTGTGTTTAGCACTTGTTCTGCTACCATCTTAGTGTCACTTGTAATCACACATTTTCCGAAACTAGTGTTCAGACATATTACATATAAACATTAACAACCATAGCCCATTATATAATAAACATACCAAACGATATGCCAAATTTTTTAGCTATGAGAAGACCATAATTAAATATTAGAAATTAATTAATTTGACTAGAGGTAGGCAGTTATGCTGCCATCTCAAATTTAATGACCAATTCCAAATTAAATTTTAGAAATGTCTAAATTAAAAATTAATTATTTATAATTATTAAATTTAATATGAAATAGCAGCATAACTACCTACCTCTAGTCAAATTAATAATATTTAATTATAGCCTTTACATAGCCCAAGGATTTGGCATATCATTTGGCATATTTATCAAACATATTATTTGAGATTTTTTTGGTTTTCTGCAAATTGAATTCACATTCCAGGTTGGTTCATTCTGTGCTAGAAGAAATGATGATGATGATGATGATGATTCACACTCCTTAACAATGTATATTGTATAATTTTCTTTGAATAAATTATATACATAAAATATTTGAGTATTTTTTTGGCATGGAATGCATTATTGTATTTTACATTAATTTATATGGGAAAAATTGTTTCACTTAACTAGTTGTTTGCATTATGAGTAAGATTCTGGAACGAATTAGGCTCATTAAGCAAGGTTCCACTGTCTAGTTTTTATTTTATTACTAAAAATTTTTACAGATAATTCTATACCTGATTTTTTATCCAAATAATAAGCTAGTAAACATCTTAAAACAGCTTGATGACCAACTATTAGAACATTATGCTGACGCTCTAATTCCTAATAAGATTGAAAATGTTTTTAAGTTACATAAAGAATATCAATAATTTTTTAAAACTTAAAATAAGATCATAGCACTATGATAACTATTTATAATTAAGCTAGACACAAATTAATAATACATTAATTTGTGTTTAGCTTAATTTAGAAGCAAATTTTCTTATTTCAATATAGAATTTAATACAATTTTAGAGTTTCTCAACTTTCAACAGTCTCAGTTATTTAAAAACTCATGATTTTTTTAATTGATTAAATTCATTAAAATTAATTATTACTGATTTTAAAAAACAATTATTATTAATTAAAGATAGTAATTTGAAAAAAATAAAGATATCAGTCACATACAATAAAATTTAAAAGTATGAACTTATTTTATATCTTAGAAACATTCTTTAATTTGAAGTTAATTCAATGTATGACAGGGCTTTACCTATGCTATCAAAATTATAATTGGTTACTGGCTATTTTTTAATTATTAATTTAAAATATTCTGGAATTTCCAGACTTGCTAAGAATTAAATTACCTAAGAGAAATTGCATTTGAACATGGTTATCTATTATAATTGATTGAACAAACTACAGAGTGGCACATCTAAAAGTAGCCCTGGTTCATAGCTTAATAGAACATGGAAACTCAAAATAATACAGTAATAAATACAAAAGCCAATGGCTGGTATCACTATCATAGATGATCACCTATCACATCTATATACATCTGTGCATGCTGAATCATGTTTAGGAACCAACATAATACTTTGACATTGATGGCAACAATTGCATGACTAATGTCCCTCAGTTCTTGTTTTGTACACCTTGATCTCCAAGTGTCCCAAAATATCATACATTGTCAGATCAGGGAAATGTATTCAGCAATGTTACATTCAACTGATGAGTTCACTTACTCTATGCAACACACTAGCACTGGAGATGCAACTCCAGTGCTATTGCACTTGGAGTTACTTTTTGTCCACCATCCTGTAGTTCTGAAATATAATAATGATGATTCTGGATAAAAAAACAGCAAAACCAAGATATACAAAGTGTTTTCATTTTAATCAAACACTCAAAGGCATGTGGAGAGAGACTGCTGAGACAAGCAATATTGACATTTGCAACAAAAGAAACTCTACCACTTACAAACTATTAAGAAATGATAAAGGCTAACAAGATGCATTCAGAACCCCATGGGTATTCAGATTTAAGACAACTGATTTGGCACAATGTACTCAAACAATGTACAATGTTTAAATCATGTCAAGCAATGTCAAGATCATTCAATTCATGTATAAAGAAGCATGAGTGAAACATGAGGAAGGGCATCTAGACTGCTGCAATGATAGCATACATCTTGATGTTAGAGAAACAGACTGACTTACAAGTGGCCACAGTGATTCAATCAACTCACAAAATAATATGGTATTAGAAATATTATGCATCACATTACAATGATTTAAAAAATTAAAAAGAACAAATCTAGAAAAAGAATGATTCAAAATAGGATTTAACCATCAAACCTTTCCAAACCATTAATTTTTCTAACTTTTCTAAAATTATCATCCAAAATTATCTAATCATTAAACTTAAAGACAATGACCTACAAAAACCCTGAGCAAACTACTTGTTATATTAATTAAGAAGAAACACCCTTTTTATCAATGCAAAAATTTATTTAAAATGATTGTTTTTGAATGCCTGATGATGATTGATTATATTAATCAATCATTATCAGTAATGTGTGATGCTTTAGCATCAAACACCCACTGTATTTAAAATTTACAAAAATTAACAAGTTACAAGAACTAAAAAAAATATTACGTTAAGATGGTCTATTTTAATCTATCCACTGAAAAAACTCAAAAAATACACATCCTACAAAAAGCAATCATTCAACCAAAAATAGTTAGACTTCAATGGCTACAAGATAAGGCTACCAATTTTACCTCAGATGACATTACAATTAGTGAAGATGGCAAACTTCATTTTCTTAAATGGGAACCCACACTTTTTTATTGCATAGTTTGATTCTACACAAACTTTTAGATAAAACACTTTTTGAAACATGCACTTATTAAAAGTTAAGAAGTTTGCCATATAGTACATACATATTTCTGTGAATATCTGTGAAATTCATTGAAAAAAAAGAAAAATGCTTAAAATCATTAGGAAACTATTATTATTTGGCAAAATCAAGATCAACATTTTTTATTTCTATGTTTAAACGATTTTATCATAATTTTATTTTCTAAGAAAAACAGGTTAAAATATTTTAATTTAAATTTCCTATATTTCTAATATTAACTTAATGTATAACAATCTGAAACTCTAGAATATAAAATCATATTAACATTTATTAAGCTACTTAGTATAAAAAATTCCATTTTATATAAACTTTACTTACCATGATAACTGGTTCAAGTCTTGCAACAAGATCTTCATATGACTGAAATATTTTAAATTAATATTTATTATTTGAACATGTATATACAGAGTGTATCAGAATGACATTTTAAAAATTTAGGGGATTGTAGAGGATGAAATTTTGAATGTTTTGATATTCAAAAGGAACCTATAGCCAGAAATTTGAACTAAAGTGTCTACAGTGGTAGGAAGTGCTTGATCGCACTTCACTTTGGTAGCTTCCCTTCAGTCCATTAACATCATGTTATTGCTGTGGATGGAAGACTGTAAACACACAACTACAGTGGTCTAACTGAGCCTGTGTACAGGACGTTGTGTACTTAGTGCTTGTCATCCTTCAGGTCACCTCTTGCATCCACTGGCACTGTGCTGTAAACACACAGCTAGTCAATGTGAGTCGAAGTTGGTCGTTATCACATTGAACATTTACTCTAAAGTAGTGCAGCCACTGATTTGATGTACAGTTTGATTGTATACTCTACTGTTTTGTCAATAAAACTTGTCATAAATTCAAAAATACTGTATTCTGCTGTTTCATTCAGCATACTGACTGCATAGAACATGCAAAGTGCTGTAGAAACATTATATCACATTTCTGGCTATTGGTTCCTTATATCAAAACATTCAAAATTTCATCCTCTACAATACCCCAAATTTTTAAAACATCATTCTGATACACCCTGTATATATATATATATATATAAAACAAGCATGCAATACTTACTTCTCCTCTAGGATATCTATAATGAAATTTATTTTGATCTCTAGCAGCAAAATCTTCAGGATATTTTTCAAATATTTCTTCATAAGTCATTTCCTCACATATACCCTGTAGATTAATTCAAATAATTTTTTAAATGTTAATTTATAATAACTAAAATTTACATTCTTAGGCTTTCTTGTAGACCAAACAAATATCTTTCATATTTCAGGGTATTTTTAGGATTATGAAAGATTTTCAGTTCATCATCATCAGAAGAATGATTTTATGGAGAAGTAAACTTTGTTAAATAAATGGTGTGAATAAGTAAATGTGCTTAATTTTAGGCAAAATATTTCTATTTTTTTTTCATAGGATTATTAATCCCAGTAACAATTAAAATCATATTATAATTATTATTAACACATTTAAATAGAAGTCATTTCAAAATAATAAATAAACTCTCAAACTTTTATCACATAATCTATATAGAATATATACATTACTAACCTTTTTATTTTAATTAAATGTGAATATTTTAAATTAATCTTTCTTATTAACATAATTAAATAATTAATTAAATTATATTTTTTCATTTGTTACAGTGATAATTAGAAATAAAAAGAAATAGGAAATAACCTAAATGCAAGATTTTAAAAAAAAATTTTATTTACTATTATAAACATAAATTATTAAAAAACATATAAGACTTAATCTTTGGCTATACATAATAGAATGAAATAGAGTATTTTGTTTATTTTAATTGAAATATTTTTTTGATAAAATAAAATTCAATAAATAATAAATTTCTTACAGCATCTATTTCATTTAAAGCCTTCCAGCATTCATGTGGAGCAATTATTCCTTTAGCTGTTTGTAAAGTACGTTTCATTTGACTAGTCCAGACATGTAAATTTGGAATTTTTTGTTCCTCAATGAACTTTGCAAGAATTCTTGAATACTATTAAAACAATTATTATAAAGTTATTATTACTTTAATACATAACTTCTAAGAAAAATCATTATTATTTTTATAAAATTATTTAACAATAATATTAATAAATGAACTTAATACTTTCAACAGTTGCAAACAAAATTTATTTTAAATGCTAATATCAATACTCAATATTAAAATTATTATATTTTATAATAATTTTAAAACTTCAATGTAAACAATAAAGTTATTACTGAAATTCTCTATGAAAATTATTCAGAAGTATCAATACATTTTAAATGTTCCACTCTTCCACAAATCAGGAAAATAAATAAAATAACAACACTAATTTTAACATGTTAACATGGTTAATTTTTTCATTATGCTGGGAGAAATTTAAACTTAGTGTGGGTTCATTAAAGTGTCAATATAAACTCTCAGTTTTTGAACATAATTCATTCCTAAAAGTCGTTTTAAAATCAAAACAAATTTTCCCATGAGAAACAATATAAAACGAATTAATCCATTCCTAATCCCCAAAATAAAACCCCCTTTCTTTTTACTTTTTTAGCTGTATTTCATGGTAAAAATGCCTACAAATGCAATGTAATATTGTATATAATGTAATACTGTACTATATATAATAAATTTTTGTCATTTAATTTGATTTAAGCACCTTTAAAGACAAATTCTTGGATGCCATTTATATTACATGAGTGTCAAATAACAATTTTTATTCATTTGTTTTAATTCAACTGCAATGTGTACTGAAAAATGAAAGTACAGTAGAGCATTGATTATCCGAATACCAATCAACTGAAACATCAGTTAACCGAAAGCATTCCAATTGGCAAATTCAAATTTCCGCTATAGCTGTGGTGCTGCAGCACTCTCCCCCTCCCTGCCAACCTAAACTGTAGGCATATTTTAATGTACTACTTTATGTAAGGTATGTATTTGTAAGACATGTGATACAAAATATATACAGTACAGTTTTGTGTTTAATATATTTTTTCATAAATGATCAGTTAGCCAAACAACCCCAATCCTGAATTGTTTCGATAATCAATGCTCTACTGTAGTATCTTTTCTGCATGCACATTGAAATCTAATCTAAATAGCAAAATCATTGATGATTCGTATTGTGACGTCTAACAATGCAGGCAATCTCAGTGCCACTAACTTCTAAATAAGTAGTCCAGTTGCTTGTAGTGGAAGTAAAATAAAAACTTCCACTACTTTTCCACAACTTCCAACCTGATTGGTTGGACAAGTAGTGGAAGTTTTTATTTTACTTCATAATTCGACTGTTGACCTTTTTGTCTCCATTTATTCACAATGTTGAAGGTAGAAAATCACCATCTTTGATTCTGTCGGATTTAGATAAACAGAATGCAATAGAATAACTCTTAAATCCGTTAATATTGAGTGACAAGACCATTAAAAAAAATTAGGTATGTCTTTGAATCAGAAATGGCTCTAGGACTGTCTCTCAATCCTGCCAAGCCATCATCTCTTCAGATGGAGAACACTTTTGTGACAGAATTACTCGACGGTACAGAACTGAAATCTGGAAGGATCAAAAAGGTACTGATACAATATTATGCAGTATCAGAGAATGTCAGAATAGGAGAAGATGCAGCTATGGGTAATCCAGTTAAAGATTATTCCTCCTCCTTTTCCACCATCAACTTGCTGTTGCTCGCAGATTGTATTCATAATTTCCTGACTATCCACAACATACTGCAGAAGAGTCTTCTATTGGGTTTCTGTTTTTCATTTCCCATCACACAGAATGCTCTGGATAGCAGAACACTAGTCACGTGGACAAAGAGCTTTAATTGCCCAGATGCTGTTGGCAAGGATGCTGTTCAAATGTTGAACAACGCCATCTGAAGAAAAGGGGATATGAAGGTTGATGTCGTGACCATCGTGAACAACACTACGGGAACCCTGGTCAAAGGAACCTTAGTGGATCTAATTGTGCTGTTGGAATGGTTTTAGCTACTGGAAGTAACGCTTGCTACTTGGAGAGAGTTGACAGAATAGGAAAGCAGAAAGGCAATCGCTCTGGAGTCAATGAGGTGGTGGTAGATATGGAATGGGGTGCTTTTGGCGATAATGGTGTCCTGGATTTTGTGAAGACCGAGTATGATCATGCTGTAAACGAGCATTCTCTGCTCGTTAATTCTTTTACATTTGAGAAACTGCTTTCCAGGAAGTTTCTGGGTGAAGTGGTATGACAAGTGATGTTAAAGTTCATTAAAGATCGCTTATTGTTCAAGGGACGTCTTACAGAGGACATGACATAAATTCTGTAAGACCTTTTTTAAGACTGTTTTAAAAAATGTTTTAAGACTCCTCTGTAAGAGGACTTACAGAGGAATTAACTTAACAGTTTCACGACAATGGACGTATCTCATATTGAAGGTGAAAATGGTGACTCTGAAGTCTGAACAATTTTTAGAGAATGCTTTGAATATGACAAGATCTCCAACGATGATATTAGTATAATAAAATACGTCTGCACTATCACCTGTCTTCGTGGAGCATGCCTTGTTTCTATATTTTGATCGAAAGGATAGACAAGCCAAAAGTGACCATTGCCGTAGACAGGTCTCTGTACAAGTATCATCCATGGTACAGACCGTTGATGGTAGAATTTATAACTAAAATGGCCCAGGGAAGAAGTTCAAATTGATTCTCGTTGAGGATGGAAGCAGAAAAGGAGCGGGTCTTGTTGCAGGCCAATATTACAAACAGAACACATTTCATAAATTATATCTCATGATTTTAAAAAACAATTTTAAGTTAAAAATAAACAATTCCAAAGTAATTAAATTTTGAAGGATCAAACTGATTAAAATTATTATTTATAATAAATAAACTATTGCAATTTATTACAAATTAACAACTAATCACCTTACAACTTCTTTCAAAGAATATCCACATATAGTTAAAATATAATAACAAACAAGTTAACAAGAAAAATTTGCAAACTAATCACTTCTATCTGTGAAAGATAAAGATTTAATACTAATTACAATATACAGGAGCACATTGCCAGCAATGCTTCCCATGCTACAGATTATACCATTAATCAGTATGAAATTAATACATCTGTCTAATTAATGTATATTTCTAAAGTCCTTTGTTTTTATTCAAATAATTAATTGTTAGAAATTTGTTAGATTGTTAATTGTTAGAAGCAATATTGTCTATTTAATTAAAAATAACAAGTAATCCAAAAACCTTAAGTTTTGACATATTTCCTACTAGAAATTATATTAATTAAATAAACGTATATGTTAAGTATTAAATGTAACAACTATAATTATATGTTAAGTTTCAACTTTACTAAAAATTGCTTTAATTAAGTTTTCTTAAAACTGATTTATAAAAACATATGATAAATTAAAATGTTTGTAATAATGCTAGTAATGTATAACTATATTGTATCATTTGTGAAAATAATTGTCTTATGTTTTTATTACTTTTAACTAATATCTAATTCTGAAATAATATTAACTGTACTTATTATAATCAACATCAACTGACTTCCAATGAAAAAATTTAATTTCTACAGAAAGAAATTTTTCTTTATCTCATTCTTTTAAAAAATTATTTTTTTATTGTAGTATAAATCAAAGTTAATGAGTCAATGAGTAATAATATTAAATTAAATTAAAATGTAAAAAACTGATGATAAATATGCTACATAAAATTGAAAAAAATGCAATTCATCAAAACTTGGAAAAATTTATCAATATTATGAACTTATCAAAAAAATATACATTAAAACTTTATTTAATGTTAAATGATAAACTGTATACATTACCTCCCAACCTCGATCAGAAAGGTCTGAGTCTCCACCAATTCTTCCTTGAACATTGAGTAAACTTTCCCCATGCTGCACATTTAATGAATATTAAATTTAATTTTTTGTCAATTTAATTACACTAATGCTATCATGTATTTTAATCAAAATTATTTATAAAACAAAAATAATTCAATATGGTGCATTTAATATATTAAGTTTTAATTAACAATGCACATATAAATTAAGGACATAGATATATAAATGTTCAAAGACAAACAAGAGGATATTATTATTTTGTTTCATTTTCAATAAAGAACAGCAGATAAAATATACTTTAAATCAACAGAGGATCATAATGCAAGAATGTGACAACTTTAGTAAGTTCAGTTTCAAACAAAATTAATTTCACATTTCTGATGTGAGAGCATGATGTTTATCTACCAAACAATGCCTTATTCTCCAGGATTTCAAAGCCCATCTAATATTGTTGCCATACGAAATTCCTTTCACTCCAGTTTCATAGTGTGCCAAAGTTCTAAACTGGTACACTTACTCTTCCAAGGAGCTTGCTTAAGCAATACTCAAAATAATCTAATCAAAAATATTCTAACATGTTACTGTAATGCTGCTATTTATGTCCTTTCAGTCAATGGTTAAAAATTAATAGATAAAAGTTGATGAGCACTATCGGCATTAAGAAGGTTTTGATGAGTAAAACACAAAACAACTACAAAATATTTTGCAAGCACTTTCAACATGTATAGAATGTCTTCTTCAGTCAAAACGAAAAAAATTTTAGAATGTTGATATGAATTTTAACATTAATGTTAATATGTTCTAATTGGAGTGCACATGTTAAACTTAAATGGTGCACTATTAAACTTATAATTTGACCATTAATTAAATGTGTAATTGAAAATTATTGGCAGCTGTGATTTAATTTTTTAAATTATTGAATAGTGAAATTCATATTTTTGGGTGCTCTAGAGTGGGTCCATTGCATGGCTCTAATTCTCAATTAATAATGTTTCCCAGATAAATAAAAAATTGCAGTCCTCGTGTTGTATGAAGATGGAAAATTCATTCCACTTTGTTCCAATAGATTGTGCTACAACTTTGTTTTTGAGATATAAGGTCGTAGCACAATCATGCACAACGAAGTGTTAATGTCCATGCTTCTGATGCAACTGAGTGTGCCTAATGGAACTTAGAAGCAAAAACAAACAAAACACAAGAACAAAGCAATCAATGGTAATTGCTTTGTTCTTAGATTGCCTCTTTGTACCTGCCATTGCAAGGATCATCTCTCCCATGGTTAGCAGGTACAAGAAGAGACTCTTCTATGCCTAACAAGTGCAGGGATTGCTTCTTTCTGTCTGGCTCTGCCTCAGTTCTACCACAATACAACAAAGACATGCACTGTCCTAGTTAAATATTCTTATTTCTTCAATTGTAAGATTTACTTTTTTTTTTTACCATTTTTTACTTATCCAAAATAAAAGTGTATTAGAATTGATGACATCTTACAATTTTGCAATCTAAAACATCAATCAATGATAATCATACCTGTTCAACATTATGTACAGTACCAATAATACACACTTTTGACTGTAGTGTTCAACAATCATGTTACCAACAAGCCCATTTGAATTAATAAGTATTTAACTTAAACTTGTTTTTAACATTTAAAATGTCTTTATGATGATGTTATAATGCAGAAATAAAATGAATAATTATTACATATATAAAAGAATGCAGAAACAAAACTGCAGAAAAATTCCTATTGCATGGCATGTGTATTGTTTTTTTAATTTGTTACTTAATAAAACTTAATATTTCCCTTCATAAAAAAATAACTTAAAATTTGACTTCAATTATGCTGTCTTAGAATCAAGGAAATAAACTTTATTATTTTTTCATCTTTTTTCACATAATACTAATTAAACCAATATTCTTTTTTTAACTAATCCAAGAATTAACAGAATTTATCTGGTGTAGAAATTACAATAATAAAATCTTTTAATTCACTGTATTTTAACTCTATTTAAGCCTGTTTTTGTTTTAATGTAGTAATGCAGATATTTTATTAAAACTTCAATAAAATATATAACTCAAAGTTTATTCACATTTTTAAAAAAAGGAGAACAAACATACCACAAATTTCAAAATAAAAAACAAAACAACTTACCCGTGTTAAATATATAGAACGTGGTGTAATATGAATGTTCATAAGATAATATACAACTCTGCTCTGTATATGCCCTGTATAATTTAACACAAATATAGTTTAAGTTTAGAATAATGGAATATTTTTAATAATTTAACTTAATATTTATAGAAATAATTAAAAAAATCAAGTAAAGATAAAGCAATAATTAAAATTGATTTAAAATTTTTAAACTTTCAAAAATAATGATGCAAAAACTTTGCACAAAATTTTTTGTAAAATATAATTCATTCATTCATTCATTTTGTGAGGATCATAGTTTTGCAGGCAAGAGTAATTAATTTATAAAAACCATCATCAGGAATCTGACATCAGCTGATTCCTGATGATGACAATATGTCACTGTGTATGCAATACTATGAGATTTATGCAAATAAGATGATAAAGGTAGCAATATTCTACAATAAATCAGCCATGTTAAGAAAAAGAACTAACTACATTCATATAAATTTGCAGATAAATGTGAATTATTGTTTCTACTTACCATATGAACAATATTTATTCTGCAAAAACTGGCCTTAAATTTTATATTACTATAAAGCAAGTACAATTTAATGGAGTTTAAATGAGTTAGATTTTTTAAATGGTAGCTGCTAGTTCCTTAATTTGTAGATACAGTGTTCTTGTAGATAGTCTCTTCTAAGCATGTCTCAGGTTTCTAAAAACAGGATACAAAGGATCATATCTAAATTTTGATAGAAAACCTGGATAATCCAGTAGAAAATTTAGGAAGCAGCACTTAACAGAAAAAGGCAGATCTGGGAGGCTAACTCCAATGGGAAGTTACAGGAGTCCCTGGAAACGGTTCTGACCATAAGATAATTACTGTTCTGTATTAAATTGGTAAATTTTTGTCAATTATGAGGATGGTTTTATATTTCTACAGATTTATTTGTATTGAATTTAATATTTTGTATTATTCTATTGTTTCACAGTGGGAGCACTTACTCTTTTACACACCTTCTCTGGATATATCCTTGATAGAACAGATTAAACTATTAAAAAATATTATGATAAGGAATTGAATTATAAAGTAAAATTACCACAAAGCCATTGCCTGAAAAACTATGATCCTCACAAAATGAGTAAATGATTTATATTTTTTTCAAAAATACTGTATTTTATGGGATATAAAATGCAATTTTTGTTCAAAACAAATTGCCCTGCATCTTATATGAAGTTGCAATCTCCCATAGGCTAATGAATTTCCCAAATGGCCTTCAGTAGACTACAGTAACCTCTACTAACCCAACTCTTAAATAAAAGGGTTAATGTTTAATTAGACATATAATTATAATTAATTGTTTTTTGAAGAGCTAAGTTGTTTTTGCTTGTATTCATGCAAAATAGTTAATGACAAATGCCTTCTTTTAAACTTTTATTTATCAGGAAAAACAAAGAGTGTGAATTCTAATTTTACTTTTTTAATCAGAATACAGTAAAAAAAAAAAAAATTGATGTTGAATGCCAAAAGCACAGTATAGCTTAAATACAATAAATACTTTTACTTAAATATTTTGTGCAAAAACAGAGATGTGCCTTATATGCCATAAAATATTGTAATTTATTACATATTCAATTCCAACACTTTTGCTTCCTAAAGTTCAGATTGTGTAGTCATGCTTTTTTTAAACTGAATTTTAAATTTTGTGTATTCTATATACAGCAAGTTATCCAAATTTGCCACTTAAACTCTTCAAAACAAATGGCATGATTCTGGCTTTAGAGACAACAGATTTGTGATGATGGGTTTCTTCTTTTCCTTAGAGATACTGTGGAGCTTCTTCCTAGCCTCTGTTTTCAGCACTCCATCTTGCATTGATTTTGGTGTCAGGAAATTTAGTTCCTTTTCATCAGTTCCAAAGACAGCTAGCCTTGTAAGTGAGAAATTTATTGCCACACTGTGCTGTTACACAAACCATCTGCACTATATATAGTCTTGGAACGTCTTGCGCTTGTATGCTGAGGTATGGTCAAATCAGTCCCTAAAGACTCCTGAATTCATTACTCTTATATCAAAATTGCTTCAAGTCTCTGACAGCATCTTCAGTCAGAAAAATTATATTTTCTCCTTGCAACTAAACTCTACTTGATGGTGAAAGTTATCTGTAGATATATTGGGTTAATGCATAATTTCATGGGGCAAAAGTTTTTATTTGATACTCATTTAAGACAAACAGGAGAAAAAAAAATAAATGGGTACTATATTCTCTTGCATTATCTATGACTATCTACTGTACCAATGCTGGGCAATTTTTCAATTCCACACCTGAAGAAATCTGCTGATTTGAAAGCATTTTCATTATCAAAGGAATTTGTTCAAAGATTGTTAGATAGAGAACATCAAAGGTAGAAAGCTGAGGGTATAAGATTGGAAATAAGGAAAATGTAGAATAACCTCCCAACCAAGCTCCTGAATGACTGCTTTTGTCATGTTAGCAGCAGTGTGAGTGTGCATTATCATGCTGTAGTAGTACTTGATGCAGTCTTCCTGGTTGTTTTTCCTGAACTGCAGCCCAAGATCTCTGAGTTGTTGGCAATAAATACCAGAAATGATAGTTACATTCTTGGGAAGCAATTTGTAGTATACAATGCCTTCTGTGCTCACTAGATGCCTAACTTTATCTTCTGTGGATGGACATTATCTTTTGTACAGGGAATTGCTTTTTTGTTCACTATTTCTTGTCGCTAGTAACAATCCTGAACAGGAATGATTAGTTAATTCATAAACAACAATTCATGAGCTAACCAATGATGAGCAAGTAAAGAAGCACAAAAGACCATCTGCTGATTTCTGTTGTTTATGCTTAGAGCATGCAGTATCTATACACTCAATTTTTGAACCTTGTCCATGGAATGCAAATGTCACACAATGGTTAACTATTCATCACATTTACCAATTCTTGGGTTGACTTATGTGGATCATTGTGAATTAAAGAATTTAAATGGTCTTATTGAACATGGAAAAATTACTCATATCAAAGTGGTCCTCTTTGAAAGAACAAAACCATTTTCTTTCTGTGCTTTCCCCAATGGCATTCTCCAAGTACACAACACAAATGTCTAAAGTAGCTTCTGCAGCCTTTACTCCTCTGTTAAACTCAAAACCAACAGAAAAGTATGTTGAAAGTATTTGTTTTTTCCATTTGACATTCCATTTTCTTTAGCCCACAAATAGCACCAACTTTCTTCAAATTTGCAAAATGCAAGATTTATTCACAAGCACAGTATTGTCACTTCAAATGACAAACAATAAACTCCCAACATCATAGTGTTACCACGCAAAAAACAAATGCTACAAACTTACTCAAAAACTCAATAAATGTATGTTCTGCTTGAAGAATTTCAACTTGATAACATCTGAAAATATTTCCACAAGTTGATGTTGTACACCAGAAACCTGAAAAATGCCCAGTTTTTATTCTGTCCATTGTCATTATCAAACCACAGAAAACATCATACATCATGAAACCACAGGAAAAGAAAAATTGTGGAAAGAACTAATATCATCTTTTCCCCCCAAACATAGCTTTATGCCATTGGATGGCAAAAGGTTTTCAAAGGCTCCGCTTACTGACAGGAAAAATCTCATTGAATACAACGATTCTTTTTGTGAGGAGACATATATTACTCTTTTTGAGAGATATTACTTACATTATTATCAGTAATTATCTATTGTTAAATTCTTTGGGGATATGCTTCCAACCACTTGTAGGTGCTATTGTGGCGGTAAGCCATACCTATATACATAGGGGTTAAATATAAGTTTTATATTAATCTCAATCCTTTGTCCTTCATGTCACTGCTTCTAGAACTTTTTCATTCATTCCTTCCCTATGGTTGGGGACAAGCGTTGTCCAGGAACAAAAAGGGGAAACAAAAGAGAGAAAAGCCCTGAGCGCATCAGAAAAGAGAAAGAGTCATTCTTGAGATAGCATTCGAGGAGAGCAGATGGAAAGAAAAAGAGGTCGAAGTCAGCACTTAGTAGGACGAGGAATAGACCTTAGGTTGTTTGGAAGAAACAAATGAACAGTACTGTTGTTGAGATCAAGAGCTTTGTGAATACTTCGGAATTTTCAGATTTTTGATATAGAAAAGGACAGAGAAAAAGACGAATTGAGCACAAGTCCCAACATTGTGAAAATTGAAGATATACGAAAGGCCTGGGTACCCAACCAACCTTCTCTTTGTTTCTTTGTACTTTTGAGTCCTTCATCTCATCTTCCTTTTTTTCTCTTTGGTTTTAGTATATAAGTTAGTTTAAGATAGTTTAAGTTACTTATATTATTTCGGGAATATATCTCAATTTTAACCATTTGTTGTGTCACCCGAACACGTGTCACTCACCTTTGTTCATATAAAAGGACCTATCGAAACTGTTTTGTACATATAGGGACTACACAGTTGGGATCCTAAAGAACCAAGTGTACAGAGAACCATGCGAAAAGGAAAATAAAGATTCCTTTTTTTTGTTTACAACTTTGTATTGTATTGTTCGTCCATATACACACCACACTATATTGAGGCACATTTCCAGTAAAGAAGGCCATAACTACAGTACTTGTAGGTAGTTAAGACTTTTTATACTAGAACTTGTAGATATGGTCACTTTACTTTGCATTCAAACATTTCTTGTAGATACAATAAGTTAAAAATTAGTTTTTCACCACTTAAATATTGAAATTTGTTTGTATTGATCAGAGATAAGTTAGATATACAAGTAAGATTCCTAAAAATGACCCTAATTCAATCTATAAAACAAATTGTAGTTATAATTTTTTCCTTAGCATGAGAGAAATCAAGAGAGAGCTTATTCTTCCTTTGTGTAATAATTTTGATTTCAGTCAAATAATTTTTACATACCTGTAGATTGATAAAGAAAGAAAAACTGATAGCTCCATGAATTTTGAAAAGGATTCAAATATTTTTCTTTTTGGTTGATAAAGACATAAATAAAGAATAAAGGACAAAAGCTCACTTTGAACATCTGTCTATCAGTTTTGCTAAATTTTTAGCTAATCAAATATTTGGGGTAGGGGCAGTGGTGATATTCAGCAGGTTCGCACAGGTTCAGCCAAACCCGTTGTTAACATTTTCAAAGTTTTCCGAACCCGTTGTTAAACACACGTAACATTTCTCAGTGGTTTTGTTTCTTTTAAAAAATATATTAAAATATACGTATTATACTCTGTAACACTACTAAACTTGAGCCTTATACTCCGTTCGCCTTGGTGCAACCTCCATCGACCGTTTCAATCTCAACTGAAACGAGGTTCAATCGCACGAGAGATCCCACAATCCCACGCGCGCGAATAAATACAAGATGGTTGCGGAACACGTGTCCGGCTATCGACAGCGAAATAAAAAAGATATTGTATTTTGAGAGACAATGACATCTATCTATTATTATAATAATACCTAATGATGAAATAAATGATTTAGAAAAATTTTTTCTTGAGAAAAAGCCAATTTTTATGTTTATAAAATATTTTGAATGAAAAATATTAAAATATGTACAAAATAAACCATTTTGAACACTTTTTTTTTATTTATCAAAAAAATATAGTTCTGACATAAACAATGTTAAATTTTAACTGACTTAATTTTGCGAACGCATTTTTTTTTTATTTATATGGGCATCTTAAGGTCAGTTTTTGCGCTAATGTTGCTAATGCACCATTTGAACGAAAAAAATTGTTAAGGAAAAATATTTTGTTAGCGAACCCTTCATTAAATATTAAGGTCTGAAATAACTTCATTAATCAGCATAATAAAATTTGCACCAATTGATTAAAGTCCAGGGATAAAGGTCTATTAAAGGTTAAGTAAAAGTTTAGATATTTGAATTTTATATCCTTATTTCTCTTACAACTGTTTTAAAGAATACAGTTTGTTAATTCTGTGAATTTATAGATTATAATTTCTATATTATGTGGTAACTTGTATTTTTTGATCTTATGGTTCTTTATACAAATTATAATTGTGATGGCATCTTAAACTGAAAAATTAAAACTGTCCAAAGTCAGAAGAAAACAATAATCTGAAATTTCACAATTTTATCAAATTAAATGCCTCAACAAAATTTATTCTCTTTCATATTTTTTCCCATAATTAACTTAAAATAATACAGATTATTTGATTTAAAAATACTATTGTATATTATGTAAAGTTTATTATTAAAATCTGAATATGTGAGATATATTCTGATGAATATATTACTGTTTTAATTATATTTCACAACTTAAACTAGAAGGATACTTAATGATTTCTCTTACAGATTTTGTATCAAATAATTCAGCAAATTTATCAATTTTAATTATAACCTTTAAAATATCACTTGTTACTTATTATAGTGTTGAAAGAATAATCTACAGATAAGTATGAAATTAAACTTATTTACTAAAAATCTTCATTAAAAAAACAAAATGTCAATATGAAAAGTGGAAAAAAATTTGCATATTTTTTTTTTTATATTTTAAAATACAGTAGATCATTGATTATCCAACCCCCAATCAACCATCACATCGGTTAACCGATTGCATTCTAGTCGGCAAATTCAAATGTCCACTAGTGATGTGGGGCTACAATATTTGGCTATGTCGTGGCTTCTTTATTACTATTTTTGTTAAATTTTTGCGTGTTTTAGCTGGCAACACTGGCTCGATCATGAAAGGGAGGCCAATATTTAAACAAGGCTTAATTTTCTAATTCTGAGTGGTTGTTTGTTTTGTGAACAATAAAATAATTTAAAAATAATTTTTAATGATATAATAGTGACAATTATTATTTTAAAAAATTTTGTTTCGCTTAATATTGATGAAAATTCAACGTGAAGTAGGTTAATAGTGATATACTAATATACTAATTATATGGGATATACTAATATACTATACTAATAATGTATTTTTTCATACTTTTTGGCTATTCGTTTTTTTCAGTTATCCGACCAAACCCAGTCCCCAATTGAGTCAGATAATCGATGCTCTACTGTAGTCTAATCATGTATAATTACTTGACTTTTTAACATTTATAAAATTATATATTGGGTCTACCGGAAAGTTCTGTCAGTTTTGGTTATAACAAGTTTCAACAAGTATGTGCATAATCATTTGCTGCATATTTGGCTCTCTCTTTTTATCACTGAATGTATACGTACTGACCTAGCAAATGAACTAAAACGAAGATGATTCATGTTAGTTTTAAGTGATATGCGATCGTGTACACATGGCTACTGATAAAGTTCATTTACGCCACTGTATTTTGTACAAATTCCAACAAGGAAGAAATGCTACAGAAGCATGTAGAAATTTATTGAAAGTGTTTGGTGAACGTACAGTTTCTGATAGAACATGCAGAAGATGGTTCAAAAAATTTCAAATAGGTGATTTTTACCTTTCTGATAAGCCATGCTCTGGTCGACCATCTTTGATCGACAACGATGCTGTCAAGATCACGTTAGACCAAAATCCTTTTTTGACAACATCGGAGATTGCAGAAAGGCTTGATTCAGCTCAACAAACTATTTTGCATCATATTCGGAAACTAGGATTGGTGTGGAAATATTTGAGATGGGTGCCACATGAGTTAAGTGAGAAGAATTTGAATGATCGAGTCATCATATGCACATCTCTGCTTGCATGGAACAAAATTGAACCCTTCTTGGACTAGATGATAACTGGGGATGAAAAGTGGATTACCTATAAAAATATTATAAGGAAAAGGGCATATTGTGAATCCGGAAAACCTGCCCCCCTACACCTCTAAACCAAAGTTGAGCCTGAATAAGAGAATGTTGTGTATATGGTGGGACATTCAAGGACCAATACATTTTGAGCTGTTAAAACCAAACGAAAAGCTAAATTTGGAGAGGTACTGTCAGCAATTGGGTAATTTAAAAATAGCACTCCAAGAAAAGAGGCCGGTGATGTTCAATAGGAAGGACATCATACTGCTTCATGATAATGCCAGGCCACATACTGCTTTGGGGACTCGTCAGAAACTCGCAGAGCTAGGCTGGGAAATTCTGTCACATCCACCATACTCCCTGGACCTAGCTTCCTCCGATTATCATTTGTTTCTGTCCTTACAAAATTTTTTTCAGGGCAAAAAATTAAAAAATGAAGAAGATATCAGACAAGTACTGGTTCAATTTTTCGCCTCTAGGGATAAGGCATTTTTTAAAAATGGGATATACAAATTGCCATCACACTGGCAAGAACTCATAAATAATGATGAAAATTATATTATTCAATAAAGTTTATTCAAGGTATGAAAAATTTATTATTTTGTTTTATTCTAAAAATGGACAGATCTTTCCGGTAGACGTAATATTAACAAAATAAGTAAATAAAATTTTAAACCTTCATGTCTATGAACAATAACTTTTTCTCCAGCATTATAAATTTTCATAAAGGAATAATTTTCTTTTTCTTCATTTAATGTTTGATATGACATTTGATAATGCTCAATACGTTTAACAAAATCTTGCAATGCTTCATCCTTATTACAATTTTGATAATCAGGACTATGAACTTTAACTTCCTATAAAAAGAAATTATCAAATTTCATCAAATCAGTGATTTATTTATTGATTATTGTAGTATTTATTTAATTTTAAACATAGCTATTACTTGAAAATATCAAAAACAGGATTATTAAATTATTTTCAAACCAATAAAAATTCAAAATAGCTATCAAGTATAGAGTAGAATTTTACATTAAATTAATAGCACTACAAAAATTAAAATAATTGTACATCTGTCAAACATTCATTTTCATCATTGTTACTTTTCTAATCAATATTATCTCATTTATTTAAAGCTCTAACAACTGCAAACAGAAAATTAGTCTAATAAAGAAGAAATTATTTCTAATATATGAAATTCAATTATTCCTAAAACAGTTCTATATATTTTTTAATTAAGCATACTAAAAAGTCAAAAAAAGAAATGTTTTTATACAAAGTAAAATTAGATTTTACTTTGTGTAAATTTACTATCTTAAATTATAATTATTAATATAAAAATTGCACTCTTAAAATATAAATTAAATTAGTTAAATTATGTTATTTTTTAAAGAAAATACTGAAATAATTTAATTAAAGAAACAGTTTAAATGAGAAATATATAAAAATGAAATAAAAGTCTCATACGAAAATGGAAATTATTATTTTAAAAGGAAAAAAAAATTACTTATTATTTAAAAATTAATTAAACACCATTTTAAAATGTAATTTTTAATACTTAATATGACCGAATAATGTAAAGAGAATAATCTCCACTCAAAAAACTGGTTATAATTAATAAAAAATTCATTCACACATCAATATCAGTTTATGAGAATAGTTGGAGGCTATGGGGGCAATTCCTAGTGACCACTTACTCGGCAACAGGTCGGTAAGACCCGATCTTGTTGTCTGGGGATGGCTTTCGGGGGAGGGTCGGCAGGATGGTGAGATCCGTCTGACATCAGGACTGACACCAGTTAGGATAATGCTAAATCACATCCTAACTTGTGATTCTTAAATGATGAGTAGGAGTGTCGATTAAACTGTCGAGTGGAGAGTGTGTACAGGTAAATCGAGAGGGTGTCCATTTCCCAAGTGAGAGACAGGTGTTCAAGTTTAACAAACATAACAAAAGTTCAATATATATCTAACAAGGAGAGCCTACGGCTTTGGGGTAACGGATTTTGATGATCTTTGGTGTAGAGGTAGTACACGATGTTAGTGTACTATCTGTAAAATACTAAAGTGCAATACTCAAATATAATCGAGAAAATCGAACTTAAAGTTTTGTTAGAACTTTATATATAAATTATACGTACTTCTATTCGAGCGTCCTGTGGCAGAGTGGTAACGAGTCTGATTCATAAGCTTGAGTTCTCGGGTTCGATTCTCGCGTATAATTTTTTTTTTAATTCATAAATACTTATAATGTATTTATTTATTTACTCATTCATTTATTTCTTATTATTTATTTATTTTAATTTAATTTCTACTATTCCAAGTCTAATATTTTTATACTTTTGTTGACAATAACGGCGCATTCTTGACACCTATGTGTCAACTTTCCCATCTAATTGTTATCACTAACGGTGACCGATCTAATTCTCACTAGGAGCGTTTTTTCTATCGGAGTTCTTTTTCACTCACTCTTTAACAGTTCGTTTCTAAATTTCGACACGAATAGACGTATTTGTGTAGTAAAACTTATTTTGAAAAATTATTTTATAATCAAAAAATGTCGTCAAGAGAAGCAAGTTCTTCACGTTGTGACGAAAAAACTGTTGATGATAACTCTTTATACAGTGATGTAAAATACTAACTTGTAAAGTGCAAAACTCAAATATAACCAAGAAAAACGAATATAATTTATTGAAGCAATATTATATAATTACATATCATTGTCAGATGTACATGATCGTGAATGATACTTATGATAAAAACATTCAAAACAAAAATTCTGTCTACACCAAGAACAACAAATAAATGCTGCTTTTTTAAAAGGTATCATCAACAGTTTTTTCGTCACAACGTGAAGAACTTGCTTCTCTTGACGACATTTTTCGATTATAAAATAATTTTTCAAAATAAGTTTTACTACACAAATACGTCTATTCGTGTCGAAATTTAGAAACGAACTGTTAAAGAGTGAGTGAAAAAGAACTCCGATAGAAAAAACGCTCCTAGTGAGAATTAGATCGGTCACCGTTAGTGATAACAATTAGATGGGAAAGTTGACACATAGGTGTCAAGAATGCGCCGTTATTGTCAACAAAAGTATAAAAATATTAGACTTGGAATAGTAGAAATTAAATTAAAATAAATAAATAATAAGAAATAAATGAATGAGTAAATAAATAAATACATTATAAGTATTTATGAATTAAAAAAAAATTTTACGCGAGAATCGAACCCGAGAACTCAAGCTTACGAATCAGACTCGTTACCACTCTGCCACAGGACGCTCGAATAGAAATACGTATAATTTATATATAAAGTGCTAACAAAACTTTAAGTTCGATTTTCTTGATTATATTTGAGTATTGCACTTTAGTATTTTACAGATAGTACACTAACATCGTGTACTACCTCTACACCAAAGATCATCAAAATCCGTTACCCCAAAGCCGTAGGCTCTCCTTGTAAGCTAGGATACATGAGAAAATACAAGCTATATGACTAAATATGGCGATTACATGAGAATATCAAATATTACAAGGCGTCATGACTATTCTACTACCTATGCCACAAGCACATACTGAGCTTATTTGAGAGATTGCATCTTGAATTGGAGAGGGAGCTTACAAACACTGATCAGCAGAAATATCTCATAGGGAAAATACTATCTTCTCGGTGGATGGAGAAGTATAAGGTCATTGTCCGGCGATTGCTCAGTGATGGATGGAAGTTAGATCAGTAGGTTCTGTATGGCATTGTTCCCTTGACGTGGCATTGGTCCGCTGAGGTCCACTGCATATGGTCCGCCAGGTAGTGGTTGGATTGAACTTCGCTATCTTTACTCAGGATGTTCACTACCTTCACCTACATCTATGTATTTCCACTTCTTCCAGGTACTCCACACTGAACTCTCGCATCTGCCTCCTTTTATCCTTGTTGGCCTGGGAAAGTCGATCATGTGATCAACTGTTGTTAGAGACAAAGTTGGTTTCACAGACATTGGTTCAGAGGTGACTTAAAGATGTCATTTGGTTGCAGCTGTCATGCCCATATTTGGTTGTGGACTTGCAAGACTACTATGTTTATTCAATCAATGTTTAACTTTCTCTTCTCTTAACATCAAATTGTTTTCGTTTGACAGTCTGTTGTTAGAAATATCTAACATTTGTTGATTGGAAGTGTGTCATTCACTCCGTTTTCGAGCAATGTTTTTCTAACTGTCACAACGGAAAATTAGGCTTACAAAAAATTTTCTAAATTTTTCACATTATCAAACCTGCAATCTCACCAGTTTAACATTAAAACAAGACTTACTAATACAAATGTTTTCATCCATTTAGGTAAATTACAAGGAATGTAGAACAGAAATTACAAATTCAAATCATTGAACAAATTCAAAAATTAAAAGCTTCCAGATGATAGAAGCTCATACATACAGATTAGTACAATCCCACAGTCATTGTAAAAATGTAAAATTATATCTTTTAACAAGAGTAATGTGTAAATATAACAAGTGATATAGCTCAAAAGTGCAAACTACAAGAGTTCAAACCATGCTTGCAGTGTTGTTGAGAGGGAATTAGCATGGTGGATGTGTTATATCCAAGATAATCAAGAGCCAGAAGACTTAACTTTCAATAGCATAGTAGGTTTGGTGTGGTTTGAGCTCCTGTAGTTAACAATAAAGCTCAAAAATGTGAATATATTTATACATTACCTTTGTTAAAAGATATTGAAATTACTATCTATTATAGAAGCAAAATTTTATGGAGTTTGTTGCATGAGGTTGTAATGTACAAGCTAGGCTACCATAAGTTTTGTGCCAGATGGATACCAAAAATCTTGCCAGATAACCACAAAAAACAGCACATGGCAGCATCGTTGACATTTCTGGAAGCCTACCACAGAGATGGTGACTCACTTCTCAATCATATTGTAACTGGGGATGAGACTTGGATAAAACACATGAACTGTGAGACAAAAAACCAGTTTATGAAGTGAGGACAAACAAGTTCTCCTACAAAACCAAGGAAATGTGTACAAATGTTGTCAGCAAGAAAGATCATGATGACTGGTTTTTTGGGACAAGAAGGGTGTGCTTCTGGTGGATTTCCTGAAATGTGGTTCAACAATAAACTCTGAGAAATATTGCAAAACATTAAAAAAGTTAAGAAGAATGATTCAAAACAAACATTGGGAAAAACTGAGTTCCAATATTTTGTTTTTTCATGACAACACCTGCCTGCACATGGCCAATTGCACTCAACAGCTCTTAAGACAGTTTCAAATGGGAGATATTTGATCATCTGCCATACAGTCCAGATGTTGCACCAAGCGACTACCATTTGTTTCCAAGCATTAAGTTATGGCTTGCAACATAGTGCTTCAATGACAATGTGGAACTGCAGGCAGGCATGAATGAGTGGTTGATGTCTCTCAGGTGGAAAAGTTCTATGATGATGGAATTAATAAGCTGGTGCACTGTTATGATAAGTGCCTCAATTTGAATAGAACTATGTTGAAAAATAGTTTAAAAGTGTGGCTTTCAAATGTATATAATAAAAAATGTTTCCTTTCACTTGGGTTGTTTTTAATTCTAAAACATAAGTTACTTTCTGGATTGCTCTCATATATTTCAAATCTTTTTTTCTTAATTAAGAAAGTGTTTTTTAAAAATCTAATGTATTTACCATACAACCTTCTCAGTAAGATCTCTCTGTGTTCATTTTATAAAGTTTATAATCAAGATAGTAAATGAATGTATTATAATATAACAGGATAATAAAAAAGAATATCAATAAATTTTATTTTTGATAATGAACCATTGAAAATCAATAATTTCAATACAAGAAAATTGTTTTATTCATTTTTATTTTTATTTGTTGAATAATTTTTAGTTATGGTTAGAAGTGTTATAGTTATGGCTTAGTTAAGATTCATTCCATAAATATAATCACGAGACATATGGAAGTTTTAAAATTATGCAAATTCTATTTGACACATTTCAGAAATCATTCAAAATTAACAAGATTTCTTTCAATGAAATCTCATTGATTTCTACAAATTTAATAACAGATTTCACAAATAAAAAATATATCACAAAATAAAAATGCTAGATTTATAATTTATAAACATGCATTAAAATGAAGATTCATTTTTATTCTTATAATTTGTACTAGAGTTTTTGTTATATTCCTAGATGATTAATGATTAGCACAAAAGTTTATTAAAATACTTTTCTAGATAAAAATTTTAAAAATAAAGCATTGATTATTTCACCTGATAAACTGATATAATTCATCCAAACAAAAATGTAGATCTTACTATAATATTTGCTTCAATGATTTCTGGATCATCACAAATTGATTCCACAAAAAATAGCTTCAATCCAAAACAGTTGCAAACTATGTTATGAATAAGTACCCGCCTTTCATAAGTAGTGTTTGTAGCATCATATACCTAAAATTAATAGATTATTATTATTATTAAGCACTATTATTTTAAATTATCATTATATGTTTATTTATCAACTTACAGCAACTTCTCCACCTTCGTCTAACCATTTGCACATATCATTTAATGCATCTATTGCACATTTACTATGAATAAAATAAACCATAAAAAATTATAAAATGGCAACTTACTTTTAGAATTAATAGTAATTAATTAATGTTAGTTCTACAAAATTTTTTTATCATTCAAAAACAGTTTAATTATACTTATTACAATCTCTTAAATTTAATAAAAATTTATAAAGTAAAATATTTTTTGTACTGAGGATCTAAATACATATAAAAATTAGATTTTTGAAAATATATTTCATTTTATATTTTATATGATACTATGTTTGTTTATATTAAGATTATAAGTTTATAACAATCTTAAATTAAATTTCTTATCAAGGTTTGCTCTATTGTGAAGACTTCTAAACATTCAGCAAAAAAGAGAATAAAAAACATGTTGAATAAATTAAAAGTTTATATTTCTATTAAAATATTTTAAGGACAAGCTAATCTTATTACAAAATCTGAAATTTCATAAATAAATATAACTATGCAACACTTAAAACTGGATTTAACCAGGTACAAATAATGAAGCTACACCAGGAATACCAGCAAATAACACACTTTACTAAATTAAAACCATAAAACAAATGTTTTTGCTATTTTTTAAATCATCATCATCAAGTTGAAAAGCAATTGAATATATACATTCAACTGCTTTTCAACCTGGCCTTTTCACATGTACACGAATATTCAAACCTCACTTTGAACATCACATATTTTCATAAATAAAAAGTTTATTATGTTTTTTGTTGTTGTTATTATTTCTGCTTCCTATTAGTTATTAATAAGAAAATATCAATGTTTTATATGTTATAATTATGTTAAAAAGAAGAAACAACTCTATCATAATGAAAAATATACTTTTATAATTTACACTTATAAAACTGAGTACTTTTTGAGTTTTAATAGAAATATGACTAATAATTATTGAGGTCCTCAATATTTCAGGAGGAAAGAGCTATCTGAATAAACTGATTCAATAAGATAATATCAATAAAACATTGTATTCTTTTATTCTTACACTTAGAAATGAAAGATTAAAATAAAAACAATTTAAAGCAAAGTCCAATTACATAAAAACACTCCAAAAAATCTTAAAAATTGCATTAACCATTTTAATTTCTAGCCATATTTTTACCAATCTTTCTCAAGAGAAACTTACAAAATAAACATGTGGTTAATGCAATTTAAGTTTTTGGAGTGTTTTTACTATTTACTATTGCCTTTCTCAGTAATTCCAATTAAGAGCTGCAGATGATACAGTATGCATTTTGTTTTTCAGCTTCCTTTACTATTTGTGGATTTAAACTCTTTTGATATTCCATCTTTCTTCCTAAATAATTATATATAAATCTGTGCATTTTATATTTTATAAAAAACAAGTTCTCTTGCAATGCTATATTTAATTATATAAGCTACAAATATAATTTCTTTGATTTTTTATAAAATAAATGATTAAAAATTTAACATGTGTTCTTGTCTTCAAATATCAGAATTCAAGCACCATTTGGACTAATATCAATATTTTGAAAAACAAAATGGAAGAAGCTAATTATTTTACTTATACAATCCCGTTAATATCAATATCAATAGTTTGTGTGGTTTTTCATAAACATGTTTATGAAAAAGCACAAACTAATATAAAGAAAATTCAGCCATTTGCTTAATTAAAGTTGCAGAAAATTTATATGTCATCATATAATAAATGTTGATTAACAAAGCTTTCTAAATAGTGAGAAAAATTAAACAAATCTCGAACATATAGTATAAAAAAAATAATTTAGATTATATCTTTTAACAAGCTTATGAAAATATTTAAAACAAAATCAGAATCAAAGTACTAGGGGGCCCCTTTGTACTTTGATATTCATTTTTTCCAGGAGGTCATTCAAAATGTGAATTGTTTGAAGTCCAAATCAATTTTTCCCATTAGAAAGTGAACTAACCATTCCCAGACCCTAAATAATACCAATTTTGACTAACTAGGTAAAAATAGCATAATTAAATGCCCTAAATAATAAAAAAACCATGAAAACAATAAATAAAACACAAATACTGTGCCTTATTAACAAGTGGTGATGTCTTGTTTCTTAAGGTCTGCAGCTGATTTCTCACATATAATCCTTTCAGAGATGATATCACCAGACAATTACTTCTTATTTATCCACACTAAGAGGAGTTTTTCCATCTCCTCCATCTTATGCAATCTCTTGGAGGTCAACATTATCACAGCTTTAACCACATTTGCTGCTTTTATTGCTTCCTTGTTTTTCAGAATGATGCACATAGTAAACTTCGACTTAAATATGACTACCAGATCTTCCATATGCATACCACTTTCATGCTTTATGATAACTTTCGTTTTTACCTCAATTATTGATACAACAACTTTCCTTTTAGGCTTGCAAAAAAAGTACTGAAAACATTCTAGCATAATGCTAGACATGCTTTTACAGTGAGAGTAAGAGACAACTTGGGTGCAAAACAGATGGCATTTATGTGCATTTTTTTACTGCATGTGCAATTCAACATAAAAGCATTGTTTGAATTCCAGATTAAAATTCTCTTGAATTCAGCATTCAAATTCTGGAATATTTGAAGTTAGAGTCATTCAAAGTATGAGGTACCACTGTACATTATTTGAATCTCATTAACTAACAAAATTTCAAGTGAAATCAAAAAAGTAATTTAAGTTAGATTTATAAACTACAACTAGATTAGAAAAAAATTCAAAATTCTCTTTTAAATAAAAGATCCTCCATAATAAATCATTGATTTCTGGAAAAACAGTCCAAAATTTATCAATTGTGTTTCTAGAAGTTTAACTCATTTGTTAAATGCATTAAATTTAACTTACAAACATCTATGAAGACTACAAAAAGAATCTAAGTTTATTTAATAATAGTTACAAAACAAAAATCAAAACATACAAACAGTACTCCTTTGTTTATAATNTTCAAAAGCCTATTTCTAGTAAGATCTAAAACGGATAAATTGATTCAAATTCAAAACAAATAAATTAAATTTTTATTAACAGTTGATAATTTTTGGACTGTTTTCTCCAGAAATCAATAATTTAAATTTCAGTTTTCTGAAAAAAGCAGTTCAAAATTTATCAGATTTACTTACTCAACTTAGTAATTGCTGGCTGTTTTATTAACTTTGAATAATACATAATGCATGTTAAATTAAAAATTCTCCAATTTAAATAATAAGTTAGTCTTTGATTTTGATAATGGGTTATAAAAACCCTTATTAACATTAAAAAATAAACAAAAAGATCTTTTATTACATTTAAATTAAATCAACCTACATTAAAAATGGAAAACTAGTTGCTGAATATTGAAATCTTCCAGTTTGATCACTTAAAAAATATGAGAAAGACAGTTGTTATCTTTATTATTTTATAATAATCAAGTCCATATAATAAATTTTTTCACATTTTAAATATATATGAAATTTACATAACAACCAGAACTCTAATCTTGTATGAAATTATCTGGACTTTAAAAAGTATAAATTGATTCGTTTTTGTTTATTTATAAAAAAAATATAAATTATTGATTTGATTTATAAACTAGGTAATATAATTATTTATAAATTATACTAACTTTCGAATTGCCATAGCTTCTTTATTATCAGGACGAAAGAAATCATGATTTTTATAAGCTTCAGTAGCTTGTCTCCTATATTCTCCCACATTAAATACTGAAATTTGTATTATATAGATTCTTTTATATTTAATTTTACTAATGTACTAAAGATCATTGAACAAATCTATTTTAAAAATAAAATTTACTTACTTTTATAAAACTTTAAAGACTGTTTATATAACCAATTTACAAAATCAAATTACCTTTTGTCTTGATTCCAATCCAATTCAAATACCGTGTTAATTTTTTGGCAATGTATGTTTTACCTCTTGCAGGTAAGCCAACCATAGCAATAACATGAGGACAATTTACAAAATTTGTTCTATCACCTAAATTTTTAAAATAAAATGAACAAAAGTCAGCATGTAAAAAATGTATATAAAAGTACTACTATTTAATAATTAAAATAATGCAGAAACCACTAAAATCCAGCAAAACTGATTATAGGAATTTGGTTGTTTTTGAGTTGTTATTTTGTATTATATCCAGGTCTAAGTTAATTGTGGTTGATTTAATAATTAAACTGAATAAAAAGTTTCTCAATAGCAATGATGTTTTTCTAAAGTTATTTCATATCTATAGAACTCTACACTGATATCTCTATATACTAATAGAAATATAAAAATTACATTTTCATTGGATACAATAACAAAGTTTAAATCACATTAGAGTTAAATCTACCAAAATGTAACAACATAACTGTCTTATTGGATCTAATACTTTAGCTGTTATAAATCTTTTAGATAGCAAACCTTTTAAAGTTATTGTGCCAATCTCCAAGTCAACTATGGCTAAGGTTGCTACATTTCTACAACTGGATTTAAGAACACTGAAAAAAAATTAATAGTACCATTCTTCAACTTTCACTCCACTATATCTCATCCTCAAAAAGTAAAATTGAATAATTTTTTAGTTAATGAATAAACAGTCTGTTTAAAGTTTTTAGATTTTGATTTATTAATTTTTTATTATTACAACTGATTAATATTATATATACAATAGTAAAAGTATAGTATGCCTGGAAAACATGATTAATGATCTCAATTAAAAAGGCAGACACATATTTACAATATATAAAATAGAAGAAACTAAAATATCTTCCTTTCCATCTTGTCCAATCACCAGGAACTAAAACAATCTTCCTTCACAGAGATAACCACTTATTAGAGACTATGTCTCTGCAATATAATGTAAAACAATTTTAAAAAGATTCACTGATAAGCCTGATTAGTTTCTTCTGTATTTATATATTGTAAATACAGTAAAACTCTGCTTAACATAGGGGATGCATTCCTAGACAACAAAGCGCTAAACAAAACAGCATTAAACAAGGTAATTTTAACAGAGTAAATAAAGAAAGGGAAACACATGACAAAAAATAAACAAATTTTACTTTAATTTTAAGTAATTTTTATATTAATTTGCATAATAATATATTTTAAATAACAAACATATGCACACAAAAATGTAAAGTTCATTTTTTGTGATGAAGGTTCTGGCTCTTCTGAAATTTGTGTTTTTTGCAATAAGTCATGTAGTTTCATTTGTCGCTTTCTTTTTCTTTCCTTATGCAAATGTCAGTAGCAAGAGATCACATCCAAAACGCCTTGTTTTGCTTTTGCACTCACTTCAAAATCTGAATCATTCACTACAATTTGATCAATGATTTCAGTTATCATTACCAAACTTTTACTAAGGAAATCTGTAGCAAGTTCTTTGGGTACTTCATTTTCAGAATCTCTATTTTCCAGTTTTACATGAATTCTTTGTGCTGCCAGTTCTTGAAGGTCGTCGTTTGTAAGGCTCTCACCAGAAACCTGCAGTAACTCCTTAATATCTTGCTTGTCTACTTCTGCTGTATCGATTAGGTTGACAATTTGATCAACCTAACAATACAGCGATAGACTCTACTCATTGAGAATTTTTGGATACTTTCAGCCATAACTTCTTCCACACTTCATTCATGCATTTATCAGTTAATTCTTGTCAAGCAAAGTTGATATTGCCTATAGCATTCATGATGTTATATTTTTTTCCAAAATTGCATCAAACAAATATAGATTTAATGAAAGTACAGCGCTACGATGAATTGCCACGTTTTGCCGATTGGTTCATGTTTGGGAGCAATCAATGAAATGCTGCGATAATTTGAATCAGCGTAAATTTTGAGTTTTTTTAGGTTTCAAGCAGACCGTGTTGTATCAAATCAGCGTTCGAGGCAGCGTTAAGCAGGGTCTTACTGTATACATATGTCTTTTTAATTGAAATTATGTATATATTTTTACAATTTTTAGTTTATCATCAGTGAACCTTTTTAAAACTGTTTTTCATAATATTGCAGAGGCATAGTCTCTAATAAAAAGTCATCTTTGCAAAGGAAGACTGTTTTAGTTCCTGGTGATTGGACAGAACATAAAGGAAAATGTTTGTTTATTCTGCATTTTATATATGATTAATGATCTTTTTCAATTGTTCCTGGAAAAAACCATTGCTTGCTCAATAAGATATAACATTTCATTTATCTCAGGTTGCAGTCTGATGACCTGCACTGTTTGTAAGATGTTTGCATAAAAAGTACAGATAAGTGTTTGAAGATACACAATAAGATTATAATGTGATAACATGATAATCTTATTGTGTATCAGCAAAAATATATTGTAGATTCTTTATATGATGTTTCCATGGTATTTAAATGCACATATTCATAATATGAGGATACAGAGTTTGAGTAGCATAGATCATTTAAGGTTCTAAGTTAAAAACTATCTAAACATCTAAAAAAATTACTTAATAAATAATGTAATATAATACAGTAACAATGGGCTTTGCATAATATCAACATAGACATTCTGTCAGGCAAACTAAAACAAATTACAAATTATATGCAAGATTGTTTAATAGTTTGTAACACTGATTAGGAAACTGTTACATTGACATTATTAAACTTTTAATCTACACATTATTAATTATATTAAATAATCATAATTTTAATATTAATCATAAATCTATAAAATTTTCATTATGAAATAGCATGGAGCAACTGGAATTTTGCTCAAGGCTATTTTACATAATTTCAATTACTATGTTATCACAATATAGCTGGCTTATTCTATGTCCTCATTTACTGTATAATTTAATTTATCAGTAGTTAATTATATTGCTCAACATCAATTTCATACATTTTACAACTAAATTGAAGTTTGTATAGATCATTCAGTAAGGAAACAAATTCCTGTCTGAATTTTCTGGTATACTATTCAATTACTAGCTGGATAAATAAAATGTACATAATCTGATCCTTAAATGAAAAAAAAAGAGTTTTATTTGAAAACTAAAAATAACAACCCTCCAAAATTTTTATTTTTCTTCCAAATCAACAATATTGAAAAAGATTATACAAAGTGGCCCAAAACTCACTTACTAATTTTTATTAACTATACAACTTTTTAAATAATTCAATAAAGATTATAAACAGTTTCCTGTTTTCAGTTTAATTCTGTAAGTTTTTTTTTTGAGTTATGTATAGAAGTTAGATCTGGCAAATAATCATTTTATTCATATATTTGGACCCTTTCCATATGTTCTATTATTGTTGTCAAAATTTCAAATGATAAACTGCTTATTTCTGCAAAAAAGTTATATTTTAAGTTATCTAAAGTCCTAGGTTTATTAACATCTTTCCTGTGTATGATCAATTAATTACATAACAATCTGACAATACTTATATAAAGTCAAAATTTATAAATATTTTGTCTATTGATAAAAATATTTTTGAGCTGTAACTTTAAACATAACTTCGTACAAACTAATCCTCACACTGTAATCATACTAATAAGTTTAAGGAAACAATATAAAGTAAATTACTGAATGTCTACCATTTTAAACTAGTAGTTATAACTTCCTCATTTTGGAGTTTGGGTTCAATTTTGTAACTTACCTAAGAAAAACAGTTTGCGATATACAGAACACACAATTAAGAAGACATATCATATCTAAAGAATGCTAATCTCAAAAATGCAAATTAGCAATATTAATAAAGCTGTACTGATTATCAGTAAAATCAACCTAAATTAATGAACTTTATGGAACAGATTAAATTTTTTAAGATAATTTTATTTTATCTTCATTATAAAAAAAAGTGCCAAAGAATATGATTTATTTGACTATATAGGCCCGCTTTAAAATCATTTTTATTCATAATAGTTCTCTGTTAATAAGAAATACCAAGTTTCTCTTATCTGTAATACACAATACTAATAATTTTTGAAGAGTCAATTTATTACTTGATAAAACCTTTTCTTTAGTCCCAAAAACATTTTATATTTAACATTTTGTATTATTATAAAAAATTTTCAAATATAAGACATTAACTTTATTCAATATTTTTATTATATCAGATGAAATGTAAACAAAAATCTAATAAAAACTGATTAAAGTAGGAATAAATATTAGATAAGTGAAGTAAGATTTATAAAATCATATTTGCTTTATTTGATTATTTCAAGATAATTTTCAACTGAAGTGCTTGTTCAATATTTATAAAAATAATGATATCAATTTCATAATAAAAAGAATTAACTATCCTATAATTTTACTTGTTTAAATCTAAATATTATAATAAAGTCTCAGATAATTTGTTTTAATGTTTAAAGTACTGTAAACTTTCAATTTAATGAATTAATTTGAGGAAGAGTGTATCTGTTATTGCTATAAGTCCCTTAAATTGAATAAATATTAAAAACATATTAATAACAAACTTATAATGTATAGGATATATTATATTATATCATTTTATTCATACCTAATACTGATATGTACAGTACCTGTACTTGCTATTGTATTAATAAAATCAACCTTATTAGTGTTTATTGTGTAGAAACCTCATATCTTGAAACTTGTCTCTCTCGAATTTTTTTATCATTTCCATGAGATTCAAGATACAGCTTCAACTGTATATGGAAATCTAAGCTTATCTCTCTAAATTTTAAAAATCAGACTTTTTATAAGTACAGCCTAAGTCATTTTTCTTTATGAATGTCAATCTTGGAATTTAAGTAGTCAATGCTATAAACTTAATTAATAGTTTTAATACCTGCTTACATCAAATTCTAGGTTACATGCGGTGAAATTATAAAACAAATGTCTCCATTTCAGAAGAATGAAAGCAGATACTGCTAATAGAAACTGTCCACATATTGCTACTTTGGAAGAAAACTGGCATAACTCAAAAAAGTGTGATTTTTCGATTATGTCATAATCAAAATGAAAATGTAGTAAACTTTTATATGGATGAGTGTCACAAAAGTAACGTGTGTATTTGGCCACTAGGGAGCAGTTATGTGGAAGATAAGTGATATTCAGTTAAACTTTGGTTAAATCTTTGCATGGGATTTTCTCAAAACTAGTAATTTTGAGCTGTGCTGGTTTTCTTCCAAAGTAGCAATATTATAACTTAATTGGCTTGACCATATATTCAGATAGCCACCTTCCAAAATTTTTAGGACTTTTACCCATTTTAGCCCAATAAGTGATGAAAGAAAAAGACCTTATATCCAATTTTATCAATAAATTAGCCAAATCGTCTCTGGTAATAAGGAACTCTCTCCTATACACATTCAATATGGTTGAAGACAGAAATTGATGGCATCATATCCAATCAGAATTAGGGAACTATCCTCCAGAGATTTGTATATGCTTAGAACTGTACATAGCTTATTGTTTTTCTATTTTATGTTTATAATATAAAATAAATTATGAAGTTAATGATTGATTATTGGAAGTTACTATTCTCAATAACAAGTTAATTATCTTTGTAGAAATCTATAAATTTAATTCAATTCATATTTTATTTCTATATTAAAAATATTATATGATGTTTTTAAATTGCACAATTGAAGAATAAATAGCTTGAAAATGTTTTCATAAAAAATAAAAACAATTTAATTAAAAATATGAAATTTTAAAAAATTAAGAAAAATGTTATTCTTTCTAATTTTATATTTTGCTTTTATTTTTTTAAAATATACAGTATATTATTCACTTTATTTATAACAAATCTGCATAGCAGTTAATGATTTCATATTAATTAAAGTTAAAAAAAATTTAAAATATTAAAAAAATAAATTCATGAATTAAAAATTATCTGAATATTTAAAAATTAATATCAAGATAAAGTTTGCTTACCTCTTATAGGAAAAGGTTTAGTTACTATATTACTATTTGGTCGTATAGAAGACATTTTGTATGTATATAAACTGAAATTTAAACATTTAAGATGAATTACTTATTTGTGATTATTACTTTGACTAATATATATTATAGTATTAGAAAAATTAAACAAAAGAATTTATTAAAAACACATCAATTAATACTAAAAGATTAATAATATTCATTTTAAAATTAAATTTTTTCAATTAATTCTTTAGCAAAAATAAATCATAATAATAAATCAAAGATGTACGTTATATTGGGATTTATTTATAATTTTATTACTTTTTCATTTTATATTAGCAGATAATACAAAATAAACCATATATCTGCTTTATTGAAGAGAGAATATTTGATTTATCTCTAAATATAATCTGAAGTTTTAATTATGAGCATATCACTCTTATTTATTCATGAAAATATCATGCATTTATTATATATCTTTACTAATAAAAATAAAAATTGCATTTCAAAATGATTTCATTAATAATAGAAAAACATCAATTTAGTCCCTGATCTTTGTAATAAAACCCAAAAATACATCCAATAAAACCACCCAAACATTATGGTTAATGACCTTAAAAAAGCAATGTGATATACAGGTTTAATTGCTACTGTAATAATCCTATGACCTATGTAAGTGAAACAAAAAGATGTCTCAAAGTTCATATAAAAGAACACACAAACACCATCAAATACAATTCTGAATACTCTGCAGTTGCTAAACACTGCAATCTATACGGATGTAAAATAGATAAAAGTATGATAAAAACACTAAAATTCAAAACTAATACCTATAAACGTAAATATTGGTATTTCATAAAAAACATACAGAGATTTTAAAAATTAATAATGTCAATGGAATTAATGATAATCTAGATGTTAAAAATGACAAAGGATGGCATAATTATATCTTTTAAAAACTAAATATCTTTGTGATGTTATGACTATATACTGTTAAAAACTGTTGGAAACTTGTAATTGTATCATATGTTGTTACTACTTGTGCACCAGATGTGGACTGTTACACACCTCCCTTACTAGCACTCACAGCACCTTGTTGTAATGCTGGCACCTGAAACTCTGTCATCATACTGTTTTTGGTATGTACATAATCTGTCTGTATAACTTTAGTTCATAACTGTAAATCAATAATTGGCTAACTTATAACTGTTTTGTATCAGCACCATGGGAAGAAAGCATCCTAGTAGAGATAAGGAGATAGCCCAAGCCAAGCAACCAGCCAGGCTGAGGTGACCTTGTATAAGAGGCCAATCAAATGAGTAGCTGTCCTGGCAGCAGGCCAAACCAGAAGGATCTTAAACACTTACTCCGATGCCTGAAAGGGTGTGGAGCACCCATGGAAAGTTTGGGAGTGGTCTAAACCCTCTTCTTATTTTCTTATTTTATGATGGCCGATCAAAGAGAATATGTGCATGCAACTCTATGCTATCAGCAATACGAAGCTAAGTATCCTGAGCTAAAGGGTAATACTAAGGAGCCTTCAAGTAGTAGAGAGGGAGGAAGTGATGTCACTGGCACCACAACCAAAAAGCGGCAGTTCCGCAAGAAACAGAATGCCAACAAGAAGAAGGCTGGAAAGTTGGATCTACAGCCAGTTGTTGTTAAAAGAGCTAGGAGATCATCGATTTAGCCTCCAACTTGGGCCCAGAAGAGGCTGATGTCACTGCCTCAAAAGGAGGAGGTAGTGGTCGATAACATGGCGGCCACGCATAATGAGTGGGCGATGTGCAGACAGATGCGTATCGAAGAAGAGGCATCTTCAGATGCTGCTCCTGGGGGAGTGGTGACCCCTCAGTGTTCTCCTCCTATCCTTGTGGCCAATGGCTGTCCTACCATGGCTGGGGATGAGGCTGAGATGACTGCGAAGGCAACCAGACGAGTTGCCTCTCAAAAAGCCAAAGATGAGACGTCCTGTATGGACCTGGGACGAATGATCGCTTCAGCAAGTGAAGATGAAAACTCTTTCCTCTGCTGAAAGGCAAGAAGAGACTGCCGAAGTGCAGCAAAAATGCTTTATATTTTATAAA